ATTCAAAACAAATTTGTTTTGGTACTCAAGAACTCTTGGTACCAAAAGATTTAGGGACATGACCCCTATCATTCAAGCTTAAAGCCCTAGGGTTATGAACCCATTTGGGCGCATTTAGTGCACGGGTCCGGTCATAGCAATAATTATGCAAATGACCCATTCGATTGCAATAAGTGCAATGAAGAGGATGCATTTGGTTATGTTGACCATGTGGATGTGCACGAGGAACATTTGCAAGTAAAGATGGTCTTTTAAGATTATTTTGCAAATGAGAAACATTTTGAAATAATGTTGGTCTACTTGAAATATTTTGCGATTTAGAAACTTTTCGTAAATCAAAATAAAACTGCTTCAGAGCAGAAAATAGGAGAGCATCCAGTAAGCTCTCATCAGCAGAGACACAATTGCCTTCAGTAGTATTACCAATCAGGTAAAGTTGTTTAATTCAAAAGATTAGACTGACTTTGAGCTCAATGTCAGATAAAGTAATATAACTTGGCAATAAGGGTTATTCATGCTATCACATGATAATCAAGTGAAAGATAAAATTTATTTTCTAACACTGAATAGATGTTATCAAAAGAAAAGAGTACCTCTAATGCAACATAAAGTGCATTTGAACCAACAGGATGAGCACTCAATTCTGCCAGGTACTTAACATGTTGCAATGCTGAAATTTTCAAGTAGACGAATCCTCTGCCACATAACTTTGTAAAGTTCCTAATTTGTAAAGTGTTGCTCCTTAAAGAAATCAGTTACCTTGATAACGAGCCGATGACAGTGGAGGTTTAGTATCTTGCATTGATCGAAGGCTACTTGTAAGGACCGTGATTTTCGATTTTGATTTGAATAAATTTTTTCTGGTATTTAAATATTAAATATTATTTTTCTAAAAGAGTATTTGTATTTTTTTCAATTTCTCTAGAATTTTCTATGAATTAAAAATATAGTATTATGTTATTTTAATAAGTTTTGCTAATTATAAATTTAATTGTTTTGGTAAAATATTTAAATAAATAGTAAATTATTCATCATTGTTATTGTTATTATTATTTTGACCATAAATTTTAATATTTATTTGGAATAAATTTTATGATATTTTTAAATTATTTAAAGGGGTATTTTCCCTGTGTTTTTCCTCTCACCGGTGTTCACTCTGTATACCCCTCCGCCTCGTGTTTTCACCCAGCTCTCAACCCACGTCCTCCCAACCACCCTATCCCGCACAATCTCCCTCATTAATTTCTTCCGCCGTTCTTCTCTCTCTCCAATCCCACACTCAATCTATCTCTCTCTCTCTGACACTCTCTTTTCCATTTTCTCTCCCCCTCGTTCTCAGATCCGCCCAAGCCTCCGCCCACTTCTTTTGACAAACACACGCAGCTTCAAGCCGCCCATGAGGTACACATAAGATCTCCCACCAACCCCTGTCTTTCTCTCCTGTCTCCCTCACTCTCTCTCCAATCATCTCCCTCTTCTGCTCGTCCCTCAAGTTCTCGGTTACAACCTCTCCCTAGGCTCGTCAACTGACACCACTCCTCTTGGGACGATCCCCGACTCTCACCACACACTCCTCACTCGGTGTACAAGTGTATTACAAAGTGAATCTCACAATAAGCACAATATAACAAATGATTGTTCTCTCTAACAAGGTGAGAACTCAATTAGACTCAACTCAATGTCACACTATCCCACAACCTAATTATATAATGTATGCAAATACAATAAGCTCAATGGTTGTGTGTGTAAACAAAGAGTAAATCAAATCAAACTAAACTCAATATAAAACTAGCTATAATAGAAATGATAATCAACAAATAATTATAGATAAAAGCTAGAGTTGAGTTTAGAAAAACTTCTCTAGATCAAGATGGAGAGATGGAGATATAAGCCCAAACAAGAAAATAATCTCCTCCACTTGTGAAAACCAAAACAGCTTAAACCAAACCCTTAAACAAGCTTAAACCCTTCTTCAAACCCTTGTTTAAAAACTTCTTGGCTACTTAAAAAGAGATCAGTAATGGGTATTTATACCCACTTGAAATCTCAGCCAAAACCCTAAAACAGAAAGACCAAAAAGCCCCAGAAAAATTAGCTCAGAAATAGCCGTTAGAACCAACGGCTCAATTGGCGGTCGACCGGAAATTTCGTCGGTCGACCGACAGAGAGCAAAAGCACGAAGAAACGATCTGGACCATCATCGGTCGACCGGTGCGGTCGACCGATGGAGCTTTCGGTCAACCGGAGCCGGTCGAGCCGATCAGACTCTCCTGTCGCCAGTGATGAAAGATCAAATGATCGGGTCGACCGGTGCGGGTGACGAAATCTGACAGCAGTAAAAAGCCTGATATGCCTGATTTTAAAAGAGTGTTTAAAATATCAATTAAGATTCTAAAAAATATAAAACTTTGGGCGAATGATTGTAACATGATAAGAAACATGCTAGCAAGCGACTGGTTTATCACGAAGGACCTTCCCAAATGAAAAATATCATCATTTACACTCAAAATAGTCCAAACATACACAATATGAGTGTAGGCGTATAAAATTAACCTATAGGTCCCTTAGCATGGTTCAGCATGATGGGTCTCGACAATCAACGGATGTTCCGAGCCGACGAAGCAGCGATAAAGCACACAGACCGAAAACAAGCGACATATGTTCGCCTGTGGAAGCCATCCAACAGTTTCGGAAGAGTCAACGGAGTCGTCCAATCCGACAAAACTAGATTTGTACTCAACAGCGCGAGGCGGAAATCACTGCCAAATAAAACCCGGCTTCAAAATCAAGAGTCGCGGTACGAATCACAACGAAGAACTGAAGAGACGGAAAACACCGGAAAAGGCGAAACGGGACACCGAACACAAAACGCCCGGGGACTCGCTAAACCGAGCCAACCCGGGGTGGCTCGCCCAAGCCCGAGCGCACCCCAAGGTGCTCGGTGGCCGACGCCACCCGCCAGGGTGCTCGCGTGGCCGACCAACCAGGTGAGCTCGGACTAAGGCGAGCCACCCCAGGGGCTCGGCTAAGGCCTGAGCCACGCCTAGGTGGCTCGGCCAAGGCCGAAGCCCACCCTCAGGCCCTCGGCCCCAAGGCGAGCCAACCCTGGGGTGGCTCGCCAGCCGAGGCAAGGCCGCGAGCCACCTGGGGTGGCCGGGCAGGTCGCGAGCCACCCTGCAGGTGGCCCGATCCCCCCACCCCTCTCTCCTCTCTGGTGCACAAGGCACAGTTCAGAGAGGCTTATTAAATAGGGGGGGTGGTTGTTCATGTTGAGGAGCTTCTTCTGACAACTGTTGGAGAGACGCCGAAACTCTGGCGGATTGTCCAC